TTTAATTTTTTCCCTTTACAGAGGAAAGCGCACAGGTAGAAAAATAGACCGAATTATAAATAACTGTTGGCAGCTCTTAATCCGCAGTTTATAGCATGAAAAAGAAACGAAAGGCAAATTGAACGCAGAGATAGACAGGACGATAAGGTTTTTCCTCTCTAGTGACTTGCAGCGTCGCACTGTAATATGTATTTGAAGACTTTTAACAGGATTTCGAGAAGTTCAAAAACCGTACTTGGATTATAGGAAACCCTGCAATAACAGTTTGATTTTGTAGAACAGTACTCGACAAATGACAGGAACCCATTAGGAAGTGAGGATGGACTAACGATGGCGAGGATGGAAATGGATTACAATATGAACAAATTTGGAAACATATCGAGCCGTTCAAGTTTCCAGTACTTTTTGGCTTGTATTCTTTGCATTTTAAAGATTAACATTTGAACTTACTAAACGTGTCGTTTCATTTCATATTAAAGCTTTTGGAGAAGCATTTGCTTTACTGTTTTTAAGCAAGTCGGTCAGTTTTGAGAGAACTAGCTGCAAGCAACCATTATATTCGCCCGATTGATAGTCTGGGGTCACAAATTTTTTTATTTTATAAAACTGCAACTGTTAAACCCGGTCTTCAGTAGCTATGCTAAGTCAAATTGTCCGCAAACTTAAAGAAAACAGTATTGTGTAGCACATCGTATTTCAGATAATTTTATCATTTCAATTTCAGTAGAATTCAGTTCCGCAGAGAACTCCATGAAGTAAACAGCATTGATAGTAAACATTACTCTGTAAGTGTGCCTTCCATACAAATATTTACAAGCACTTAAGCTAAGTTTTCATTCACAGTCAATGTCACAAATTAGCTTTGGTTTAAGTGATTCAAAATTAACTCAGGTTTTCAAGTCGACTTCGCGAATTGTGAAAAAAAATAAAAGAATTGTTTTTAAAAAGGAAATTTTTGCCAATCGCTAAGGTAACTGGCAACATTAGCACATAAGCTTGAAACAAACAAAGTTCTGTTTCAAATCGAGCTGTATTTGCTATGCGTGTGTTAATGAGGTCTGCGACAAATGTTTATAGCTGACATACTTTACAACAACTCCAAAACATATGGACAGTTCTCATAGGGCGGTGTTAATAGCTATAAAGACACCGGTTTAAAATTAGAAAAAAAGTTTGATCGATTTTCAAAGTGAAAGAAATGCTAGTAAGGGCTAATATCATCAAATTACGGGATGCGATGGCAGGGTTTGAAATCTAAAGATAACTCGACCGCGCTCAGCATTGATCGTGCAGACTTCGTAAAACATCTGTTTTGTCTTATCTTTAGAACCGTTCATTGGAATAGCACGGAAAGAAAACGTTTACAGAAAGAATATAATAGAACAAATAACACAGAAGCAATGTATTTATAAAGACAATTCTTCACAATAAGTAAAACATGAAAAATGCATTTCAAAGACAAAAACAAAAAGCGAACAAAAACACGTTCGTTGTCCGGATATTAATTCTCAGCTAGCAACGCGGTGAGATTAAAGACGTTTGCTTCGCACACTGCAACATTTTCCTTCTCACTCCTTCGCGCATTGCAGTGATCAGTACTACGCTAAGGATATAGGACCGAAAGAAATATTTTTGATGACAGCTTTTAACGATCTTGTTTGAGAATCAAACAGTTGGTATTTAGTGTTATGCATTAGTTGGCGGACTTTCGTAACAATGTATAAAAGCATTTCACACTTAAACAATGCGCATTTTGAGTGGGCGTCATCACATGGTCTCATTTAGTCCATACTCAAGTTCACCAAGCTATTGTCGCTCGCCATTAAAAGGAAAAAGTCATAAAACTCCGACTTAATGTAAACGCCCTGTAAATTGGACATTCTCTTGAGCAAAACAAGTAGTGACGCTTTTGGGCGGATATATTTTTGTGGGATATAAAACCGCTGAAGATGACTACAGTTTAGCTTGTCGAAATGTCAGTCACCAAACAACAGTACTCAACTACTTTCACCCGGACGATCACTTCAGACGAATTTGAGACGCTATTGTTTTAAAACGCGTAAATTAGTCTACTTTTTTGAGAACACATTACTTGCAGAAGTTACCTCTTCACATTTTCACAACTAAAAAATTAAGAAGAAAAAAAATCAAAATTCATGAATTTGAAAAACTCGTACAAATCAAATAGATCCGGCCAGGCCAAAGAAGCGAGTTTGTTCGGGAATATCAGAAAAACTTATAAAAGTAAGTTAAATAAGCAAGATCACGAGAAAATAAGATAAAATAGCACAAAATGTGGCATTTTGTCGAGTCTGTAAAAGAAAGATGAACAATTGATGTTTTATTTGAAGTGCAATCCGAGAGAAAATGTTGCGTATTTTCTCTTGTTGTAGCTGATAATTATTCAGATAGGAAGCACTTATTACTGTCGAAACTAATGGATAATTAAAGAATACTAAAACACAAGACTTGTTCGACTCGAACTCTATCCCTTGAAGTCCCTTGAATGAGAAATACAACAGGAAATATTCCCTTTTTTAACAGTATTTAGACGAGAAGAGTGTATTAGCCGCAGCGAAACAACTTTAGCTTTATCGGACAGCGACCAGAACTCGCTCAATGAATGTCAAAGAGCTTAGGGTTCTAAAAATAATAGATCTACAAAGAGTGTTTTCTTTTGTTGAGTCAGACAAGAAACTTCCTCCGGTTTGTTTCATTTTGCGATGACTTTCAGCGTGTTATGTTTGGTGGTTTTTTTACGGGCTTTTCCGAGCGCGAGGCGAGCGCGAAGCCGCGTGAAGGAAAAATTAACAAATGCCGTATTTTCATTCTCCACGCGCGCGCGCGCGTGTCTGGCGCTCCACGCTCACTACACGCGGAAGTAGTTCTATAGCTACAACTTGACTCGGTGAAGGATCGAATCTTTCATCAACATAAATCTAACCACTGATTCGAATTGAATGGATGGCAAAATGGCGCTAAATGCTAAGCGCTGATTGGCTAAAACTCGTGTGTTAAAAAAAATATCCATCTTTCAAGATTTTTATACAAGAAAAATGTTACAAAAGAACTAACAGAAAAGGTTGGAAGACTATATTTTACCCTGGCTACTGCATATTCTCTGGAATTACTAGCTAGGAAGGTTTCTATTTGAGCCGGCGTTTTTAAAAGACTTTCACGAATTACTACGTATTACGTAATACTTATCTACAGTTAAAAATATCAAAAATTAGTTGAAATTGTTACCATTTTTATTTGCTAAATGCTGCGATGAAGCTACAAAGGTCGGTAGTTTGAAAAACTGAAAACAATCCTCAACCTCGTTCCCAGGGTCTCTCTTCTTCCCGCCAAACGCGATTTTTCAATCGCGTTTGGCGGGAAGAAGAGAGACCCTGGGAACGAGGTTGAACAATCCTATAATGGGCTTAAGTAGAAGGAAGTTTTTCTGCCTTACGATAATGCAACGATTAAGCAAGAAATAACATATAACAAGGGATTAGAGATAAAACAATTACCGACTAAGCCAAAATCCTGTTGTAAACAATGATCAATTATTTCCTCGATCGCGACGAAACCATTTAAATTATTGTCCAGCCTGGTATCCTGTGCAATGTTCTTTACATATTTGTGTTTGAATTGCTCGCATTTTAACCGTGCCTTGTTTCATGACAAAAAATAAACACACCATTTGTACGATTCTCAGCAGAGAAGATCAATTTCCTGTTAAATAACAAAGAAAGGAAAACTTGCATATACGTGCGGCTTATACACGAGAGCTAATTTCCTCGATTGTATTATAAAATACTTCAGCAACCATTTCCTGATAGCAATCTCAAGTTGACCAATGATTTGTTTCGTCTATTCGATCCCTTCGGATGTGTTTAAGAGCCATATTTATTTACACAGTTCCTGAATTAAGTAATAAAGATTCAAGTGGAAGTACAGTACCTATATAGTGATTATGAGATTCTCAATTTTAATTTTTCTGATATAATTCTTCAATCCCCAAAAGTGCTCAAAATCTAATTTCTCCTTACAATATTAATACATTGTCAAGCAGACAGGTTATGAGAATAACGAAAATCATCAACCAGTGATATTTTCCTGATGTGTCACTAAATTCTCAGAACGTCACAGTAACATTGAAAGAAATTTACCGGGCTTTGAGTTAGGAGAATTTATATCTCGAGCTTTCACTGCAAGGTTTAAATTTCAATCGCTGGAATTGTGCGGAGTAAATCTTTGAAAATAGCTCGCGAGAAGAAGTGAACACTGAACCGGCTCTTCCTTCGCAACAGAGGCACAGTTAACTTTCTGAAAGAAAACTGCAGCTTTCTGTCTTCTCCAATCACTGATTAATGGTAAGAACAGCGGAATTTATAGATACTTTTTTCGTCTCCTCTGCATGAGTTGAAAAACTAAGATAAAGGCAAGGGTTAGGTTTTTTTGCTTTTGAACTTTCGCTCTACAGCAAGTGCGGCAAAATTGTGTAACTGTCCGCTTAAATTATGCTACATTTTTCAAGTTCGTTGTTCGTAAACCGTCTCAATCTTTAAAGCTAGTAAAGTAAAACCTTTATTTCAGTGTCAATTTATTTAGCTTTTTACAAACTAATTGGGGACACTATCTATGCATTAATTAAATCCTAAATGATAATATTCTTAGTTAAAACCTAGTTTAAAATTAGTTTAAAATAGTTTTACAATCTTAACCATCCATGTTATTTCAGTTTTTGTTTGGTATTGCCTCTTTGGTATATTTCTACCCTGTTACTTTTAGGTTTTCTTCGATTGTGACATAGCTTCTTTAACACTGTCACCATGACATATTGATCAAGTCGCATAAAACTGCATGAAAAATCGTACCGATACTCGTAACAAATATGTTATATACCATCATTTCTTTCCACAAATTCTCAATCATCGACAAATCTAATCCTAGCAGTATGCGGGATGTTTGTCACACTTGAACCTAGTTATATGGCCTTAACTCCCACGACTGTCTCCAGTAGCTCAGGTAGAGCGTCCGACCGGTGTGCGGAAGGTCATAGGTTCGACTCCTATTGGGAACTAGGATTTTTTTTCCGAGTAGCTTGTGTCACTGACAGACTGTATGTGTGGTTGTTCCGGCGGCTGAATTAACAAGTGGGTAAAATCACCTTCCCTCATCTTTCTCAGGGAGAGTCGATTGGGAGAGCATGAGAGCGCGCGCGAAAATCACTTCCCACGAGGAGACGCGACGCGCGAGGGCGTGAAATAATTTTTTCTCGGCCCCATCAACGCGAGCAGGAATGACCGTCAGTATTTAATATTTCTGTGCACTCAAAATAATGCTTGACAATGTTTCTTTTGTAGACTACAGACAGAAGAGATTTTACCGAGTACGATTTGTTGCACGGCGACTGCTCGTGGATGTCTCGCGTGAATCCCGCGCGATTTGAGGGTGAACAAAACATGGAAGCGATACGAACTCCGGACGGCGATCAAATCTACTTCAGGACCACAATGGATATCTCGTCCGGCGAAGAATTGCGAGTATGGCTGGCTCCGTCTTTAGAAGAAGAACATGGATTACGTCGCATTTCGGAGGAGAGATTTAAAGGTTAGTTTATACAAGTTCTATTAATTGAATTCTAATTATTTCTAAATTGGACATCATGTAGTCCTATTTCATATACAAGCCGGACAGTGAAGAAATGTAAGAAAATAATTCAAGGCAGTGCAATACACCCGCAATTGCAAGGTTTACTCTTTTAGGATAAATGTTCGCCCACATTCATCACATAGTGAATTCCTCGCGAGTACTCCTCGCGAGTACTCCTCGCGAGTACTTCTCGCGCGTAGGCCGCCATAGGCAAGATAAGATCGCGCTCGTTGTCTACCACAACGAAGAGCAAGCGATCTTCTGTCGCATATAAATCGGCGACGCGGTCGTTGTGTTGTTGTGTTCTTAGGGACTGTGCAATAATTACCAGGAGGGGGGGGGGGGGGGGGTTGGAAAACCAGAAGGGGGGGCATAAAGTAAAATCAAAGCAAGGATAGGGGGGGCTCAAGGTAAAATAAGTCACTCAAGAGAGGGGGGGCTTAACATTTTATTTCAAGTACATATTACATTGGTGAATCCATACCTATTTATAAGATGAAAACCGAAAAATTTTCCGGCCCTTCGGGCCTTCATCGGACCTGAAAGTAACACACATGCTCTTTTCCTTCTGCTATGGTTCTGTTGCACATTGCTACGGAGGTGATGTTTGTTCCAGACGCGGATGTCCAACAATTAAACATGTAGTAGGAGCTCTTCTTTCTGTTATAAGATTTTAATCCACAGGTGCGTGTAGAGAAAATGTAAGGTATTTGTATAAAGGTGTATGTATACTGTGAGTGGGGGGGGGGGGGGGGGGGGGGGGGTCGTACATAATATCTGACTGATTAGAGGGGGGGCACTAACAAAATTCACTCCTTTAGGAGGGGGGTATTACCTAATATTAGGCTACATGAAGCTCATTTTCCAACCCCCCCCCCCCCTCCTGATAATTATTGCACAGTCCCTTACTCACACATGCAGTGCCTCTCCCCTCCCAGGAGTAAATGGGTACCAGTGAACTGTTAGGTCAACCTGACAGAATGCTGGTGGTTACCTGTGATGGACTAGCATCCCATCCAGGAGGAGTAGCAATACTCCTAACTCGCTTCATGCTACAGAAACCAGAGTTAATCGCCACATCGCCTAGAATACCGCGACACATCCGATGAGCCACCTGGCGTCTCCGATTCATTGGATTGGAACATTAACGTAGCTAGACAAATGTTTAACGTCGTATATATAATTTGGTTCTTCGTTTTTGCTTCTTTAAAACTATGTAGAAGTCATAGCTAGTAGTAGCAGAGAGTTATAATACAAATCAGTACGGTTTCCACGAGATGGTGGGAGTCATTTTAATAATTCCTGATAAAATTATTTACAAGAGAGATAGGGAGGAAGGAGTGATTAGTGGAATAATATTTGTTTCAAGTAAACTATGAGATTTTCTCATGTCTATCAACCTTTCCTATTGCAGAATGTCAGTCGAATTGCCAACATTGTAAAGAGACCTTTCAATATCCTCGCGCTCTTTCTGCTCACACAACTTATGGCTGCGGCGAGTTGGGCTCTAGTGCAAGCTCACGAGAGACAACCACTGACAAAGCGGGAGACGACAGCGATGGTGAAGTCAGATTCGCGACGAAAAATTCATCCGACCAACCCAAAGGAACAGAAAACGAATATGAAGAGGAAAGAATAAGGTTAGAGGATTCTGCTATCGAGGAAGATCACTTGAATGATGGCAAAACAGACAGATATTCACCCGACGACACCACCGGCCCGATGATAAACGAACAATATTCGGCTACATTCGGCCATAGTCGTGTCTTGTCGAATCCCAAACTAGCGTGTCTGATTTCAAGCTTTTCACGACCACCTCGCTTTCGCAAGTTTGCCAACGAGTCGCAATCATTAGCTGAGTACCACAAGCAGGAATTTCGAAAGAAATTCCAAGGAAATGAACATTTCCTACGAAGACACCTTTACCGCGAAAACATGGAGAAGAGGAGCCGTTCCACAAAATATCGGCGCGCGTTGGCTATGAAAGAAGACAACGACTATTCCTTGGAAGGCGATGAAGACGAGCTGCTTATCAAAGAAGAGAAAGATGAATTTATAAACTGCTTTGGAGAAGATTACATGTTAGATCGGCATAATAGCAGTGCCTTTCTTCCTTCATCGCCAGAGAGTGAAATTTTCAGAAACGAAAACAGGAAGAGCACCTCAAGATTTAACTTTCCGGGTGAACATTTACCATTAAATGACTCTTTTACCTCTCATTCTAATATCACGGGTTCAGCGGGATCAAAAATGACATTGATCACGCGTGGGTGCCCAACGTCAAATGGTCACGAAAGTCCGCGCGGGAGTGAGGAACAGTTGTCACATGAGGCGGCTCGCGAATGCACGTGCCAACATCATGACGGCGCACGTGACAGTCCGAAACAGTGCAAAAGCTCAACCGTCGATCAGGAAGAGATGAATGTAACTGAAGAAACAGCTACTGAGGAAATGAAGAAAATCGTGCGACGCTTAGAGAAGAGTTAGATCGAAGTATTTGTTCTTCAAATCAACTCAACCCGTTAGGTTCAGCGGCTAACTTGACTAGATTTGCAGGATCGTACTTTGTGTATCACAGAAGTCAACGAGAAGAAGACATGTCTTTCCGACAACACTTCCAATGTAATTGCTATTCATGCACTTCATTACACGAACTAACTGACAATGCTGCTGCAACGCGCTATCACGAGCCCGCGTTCTTCGTCGACCCGATGTACCGCTACTCAACCTATCCGCGCATGATTCCTTTCTTTGCGCACCACGCCGTAAATTCACCCCAGGCTTCCCCGCGAAACCAGGGCTTCACGTGTGAATACTGCGGAAAGGTGTACTGCCGGAAGTACGTGTTGAAGATTCACATGCGGACACACACGGGCTTCAAGCCACTCCAATGCAAAGTGTGCGACAAGTCTTTCAGCGATCCAAGCAACATGAAGAAACATGTGAAACTACACGAGACAGAAGACACTGTGCACAAATGTCGACATTGTGGCAGGAACTTTGTGCGCTATAGAGGCTTGTTGAATCACATCAAATCAAAACATTCTGAATTCGTGTCTCTGTAACAAGAACCGCAAAATTCACCGCGGTCAAACGTCTGAGCATGCGAACAAAAGTAAACTACAACGAAAAACCTAACTAACGTTTTTGGTTAAGCGTCCAAAAAAAAAAAAGGTAAATCAATAGAATGCTGGAAATATACTGAACGTTATGTTTGAAAAGTCTAAACTTCTCCTTTTATATACTTTTATTTCCTTTCGCAAATCGATTCGGATTGTTGCAATCGGTTTTCCTGTAAAATTTTGCGCGGGAAATTTGCGCGCGGGCGGCCAGAATTTACGCCTTTGCGCATGCTCGAGCATTTAAAATGAACTATAGACTGAACTATACGGACGGTCTACGGACGTCGTCCCCAGGTCCCAACCAATGCAATCAGTGAAAGAGAGACTCTGGGAACTAGGTTGGAATTTTAGTTCCAGTAAGATAGTAAATGTCGAATTGTATTTCCAAACCGATGAAGCGCGAACAATGTAACCACGCCTTGTTGTATCGTTATTGGAGTGTAAAAAAATATTTTTCGAAGAGATGTCATTCCTAGTAGTGCATTTAAAGGAAACCTCCACTGTTGAAACAAATTGCCGTTAACTTGTTGGAAATATTGTCTAAACTGAAAATTAATTTTTTTAAAGTTCAAGTGTAAGGAAAAATTGGATACAAATATCAGTTTTGCAGATTAATTTCCCGCGCGCCGCCATTTTGTATTATATGACGTATTGTGGTTGCACTAGCGGCGCGCGGGTAATTTGAACCAAAATGGCAGAGATTTGTAGCCGGTTTCTTCATTAAAGCTGAAATAATTTTACTTGGTTTTCAACAAATTATCGGTTTAGATTTATTGTAACTTCAGTGTTCCAACAGTGGAGGATTCCTTTACTCACAGGCTAAATTGTCAACTGCCCGCTTAACATGACAATTCGCTAATATCTATAGAGAAAAAATTAATACCTTGACTACTACTGGGAATTAAAGACAGTTAACACCATTCAGTATGCATCCTATTTATTTAGAATATTATGTGACTAATGGTCCGGGTTCAAGCGCTGGGCGGCAACACTTGTGTTGAGTTCTTGGGCCAGAATTGTAACGGATGCCGAGGAGGGACGGGGATAGTAACCTGCGATGGACTAACATTCCACCAAAAGGGAGTAGCAATACTCCTAGTCGCTTCATGCTACAGAAACCGGACGGCGAGAAAAGCGAGCAGGAATAATGTTCGTGTGACTTTCAAGGTCCTTCCGCCTCGCCCCTAACAAATGTTGTGGCGCGAGGAGAACTGAAAAAATTCTGGGAATGGGTGATGCCGGGATCGCCGGGATCGCCGGGATCGCCGGGATCGCCGCCGGGATCGCCGCCGGGATCGCCGCCGGG